TAGTCATTCAGCTGTATAGCTTTATTTTCTGTGCTGTTGCTTATACAGACTATGTCCAGTAATTACTTACTCATTTTTTAGTTGCGGTCATATAGAAAAGAAAAATCACAAATTTGGGCAAGGGGTGTCAAACTCATTTTAGGTTGAGGGACAGATCAGAGAAAATATCCCCTCGGGCAGACTGAATTACCTTTAGTTTTGTTTAGTTTGCTAACAATTATGCTAATATTAGTCTCAGCCTCAGATGTCATGCTCACGAACCGTTGGCTGAACGTCTGATGCATATCACACACAACATTGGAAACACTTCAGGTGTTCGAAACTTGTTGTCATCTGATTGGTTGATTTCTGCAGGATTTCCGGGAGATGTGTGTGTCGTGTTCTTTAACGTTCTGCCTGGAAACAAAGATGCTTTGGTGCCAAACCCCCTCATGGAGGAAGAAAGCTGTCATGTTTACAACTGTGACATTGACTACGTTTACATGAACATCAGTAATCTAATTATTTACCTTATTCTAAATAAGCCAATATTATGATTATGGTGTTAACATGTTGCTTTTAGAATATTCCTTTCATGTTCCCGTTTTACATGTTATAGTAAATAGTTTGATTAATGGCACACGTCATTACGTCCCCACGTGACGCCATCCGACGTCCCCTCTGGAATTTCACGTAAAATTAAAAATGAAACACCCAGAACTGTATATCGCACCATAACAAAGACGAACTATATGTTTATATGTGAAATTCTGGAGGGGATGTCAGATGGCGTTGCGTGGTAACGTAATGACGTGTGCCATTAATCGATCTATGTACTATAACATGTAAAATGGGAACATGAAAGGAATATTCTAAAAGCAACATGTTAACACCATAATCATAATATTGGCTTATTTAGAATAAGGTAAATAATTAGATTACTGATGAAAGAAAAATCACAAATTTGGGCAAGGGGTGTCAAACTCATTTTAGGTTGAGGGACAGATCAGAGAAAATATCCCCTCGGGCAGACTGAATTACCTTTAGTTTTGTTTAGTTTGCTAACAATTATGCTAATATTAGTCTCAGCCTCAGATGTCATGCTCACGAACCGTTGGCTGAACGTCTGATGCATATCACACACAACATTGGAAACACTTCAGGTGTTCGAAACTTGTTGTCATCTGATTGGTTGATTTCTGCAGGATTTCCGGGAGATGTGTGTGTCGTGTTCTTTAACGTTCTGCCTGGAAACAAAGATGCTTTGGTGCCAAACCCCCTCATGGAGGAAGAAAGCTGTCATGTTTACAACTGTGACATTGACTACGTTTACATGAACATCAGTAATCTAATTATTTACCTTATTCTAAATAAGCCAATATTATGATTATGGTGTTAACATGTTGCTTTTAGAATATTCCTTTCATGTTCCCGTTTTACATGTTATAGTAAATAGTTTGATTAATGGCACACGTCATTACGTCCCCACGCGACGCCATCCGACGTCCCCTCTGGAATTTCACGTAAAATTAAAAATGAAACACCCAGAACTGTATATCGCACCATAACAAAGACGAACTATATGTTTATATGTGAAATTCTGGAGGGGATGTCAGATGGCGTTGCGTGGTAACGTAATGACGTGTGCCATTAATCGATCTATGTACTATAACATGTAAAATGGGAACATGAAAGGAATATTCTAAAAGCAACATGTAAATACCTTAATCATAATATTGTCTTATTCAGAATAAGGTAAATAATCAGATTACTGATGTCCATGTAAACGTAGTCAGTGACAACTATTTTTCATCAATTACTTAAACCACTCTGTTCTTGCATGAACAGTCATCAAATGTTCTTTAGAACATTTTAATTAACGCATTTACCTATGATCAAAGGTGCATGATTTCTACATTTATTCTGTTAAAGCTGCCAGATGAACTCATCCATTTTATTTTTTGTCAACAAAGATGTACGATGACAGGTTATTTTTATGGTTTAAATAGTAGAGTCATAAATTCAATATTCATTATGTTCAAAATAAATTATATATATTCAAACCATTTACTTTTTTCACATTTTAATTGTTCACATCTACACTAAACATATGCACAGTGCACGGTGACAAAGCCATAAAACGGAATTTTGCCATTATAGAAAAGAAAAAAAGCCTTCAAAATACTGCAATGATGTAACTTAAGTATTCAGATGCTTTGCTATGACAAATCTAGGTGGTATGTAGGGACTATTACCGATGAGCAGATCCTATTAGCTAACTAGAACATAATATATAATGCAGTATAATGTTTCAGATGTCCATTGCCTGACATAAGCGACGCCAAAACCGTGCTCCCGATGGCAGGCGACCGTTTAACACATTCGACTTTTAACGCAGCGTTCGTGAAGACACGACTATTCGTCTAATAAAGAGAAAAGCGTCCGTCCATACAATAAATAAGAACAGGCCGCATCCAGTCAACGACAGAATGTGATATCTAATATGTCGAGGATGAGTGTGAAATCACACTAATAATTCCCTCTGGAGATGACGCAGGCTGGAGTTTATGTTGTCCTGGTAACGCGTCAACGGAATCCGGGAATGGCGAGTTTACTGGGAGAAACTCTGTTTGAGATCAGTGGACAAGGTCCTGCTCCAATAAAGGACTATTTCCACTTTGCAATAACAAAATCTCAGGTTTGTCGAGTTGTTTATATTGTTAACACAAGTTAGCGGCAGCTACATGACCAAAAGTTTGCTGTTTGTTTATCTCTTCTCTTCTAGGCCTTCCAAACGCAATGCTAAATTGTAAGTTACAAATCACAAATGTTTCCAAATTGCAAGTTACAAGTCACAAATATTACCAAATTGCTTGGTGGTGAAGAACGAGATTAATACATGTCTTCATCACATCTGGGATTGTAGACTTTTGGCTATAGACTTTACTAGCTTTAATGATCACACTGAAATGTACAAATTGAAATGTTAGAGATATTTTACATAAAGACGCTAGTTATTGGTTTCTACTGAAGATCCTACAAGATATAATCTGGAAAAGAACTTTCAGATCTTTATTGTTAGATATTATTTATCATAATAATTACAAACATCCTTCACTGCAGGTAATTTGGAGCTGGTGGAAGATATCTTTGAGATCAGACTGCAGGAACACACCACCAGGACAACTGACAGAATCACATGAAGACTTTTTAGAAGACAATCGTCTGCAAAGTGAGTTATTCAGTCAGTGTTAGTATACTGTATATTATTGTGCTTCTTACTATTCACGACTTGTATACACTTCATATTTTTAAGCTAAATTTCAAATGAAGTGTGTAAAGTCTCCTAATGTAAACTGTGGCTCATTCAATGAACAATCTGATCGGTCTCATCCAGATCAAGTGGGCATGGTATTTGGTCCTCACATCTTGCAATACTCCCAAAATTTATGCCAGGGACACTATGATTACATTGTCCGTCTCCCCAATGCTTTACTTTTCAACATCATGGCACATCTGGACCTTGAAGACATTTCAGTCATTTCACGCACCTGCCGTAGGTTTAGAGAGGTAAGGCCTACTGTAATGCTATTGCAGTTTCAAAGTGTCATTTATCAAAACCAAAGGCTTTTATTTGAAATAAAATAGCTCAAGCACACATTTCAAGCAAACATTTCACATGAAATGTTAACATTTTTACATTATTTCAATTTTTTAATTACTTTTTGAGGTTGCTGTGTTAAATGGTTACATGTAAATTGTCTAAATTGTCTGTTAACTCCATTGTGGGGTTTTTTCTCTCCAGCTTTGTAACTCTGAGGAGTTCTGGGAGCAGACAGTGAGGAAGCATTGTGACACTGTGACACCAACAGTGGAGGCTTTAGCTGAGGAGGTTGGCTGGAGGACAGTTTTCTTCACCAACAAGCTGCAGCTGCAGATGCAGATTAGCCGCCGGAAGCAGAAGGAGAATCAGCCCTGTGAGGATAAAAACGAGCCAAGTCCCTCTTCAGTACCTTTGGAGTAAACGATTGAAGACAACACTATTTTTGCTTGCATTGAAGATTCACTCTTGCAAATAGTGTGCACACACTGACTTTGTTGTACATCTGACCGACTGTTACATTTGCTCAAATCTAAAATGTTTTTGAGCCAAAGAACCAGTTTTAGGTGAAATATATATTTACGCTGCATTTCACATCTGGTAAAACAAACACATAATAGCTCATTTTCTGGCATAATTATTGCAGTCTTTGGGGTTATTTTAATACATTATGCCAGCATGTGTTTTCTCTACTTTACCAAACATAACTACCACAGTTCCAACAGTATTGTCCTGTCAGATGCCAATTTTTGTGAATAAAAACCTAAAATGTAGAACAATTTTGAATGTTATGTTGTTGCGAAAAAAAAGTCCTATTTTGTTCATTAAAATAAATAGCACATTTCAATAATATATTCTATACAGTATATTCAAGTATTTCAATTATTAGTAAAAACACTGGTATAAAAAGTACAATTTAGCCATCATAGCTCATCTGTTGCTGGATTCCTTTGAACCATAACTAGATAACCATGGCAATCCAGAATTAGATTTAGCGGTCATTAAACCTGTCAACACCAATCATATCACAAATATTCTCAGAATTTATCACCTCAGCTCTCCTTGATAATTTTAAATAACGGTATGCTTGAGATAATAAGACGAGTTATTTATGGGCATGTAGTTAAAATACACCCCTCATACACTCAGTAGATTACTGTTGCGTGGCAATGTGTCACTACACGGGAAAAGACCATGCGTGGGGGGATGTTGGGAACCTGAGATGCTGTGACTAGACCGCTGGCTGCAGGTGAGAATCACTCAGATGATCTGCATCTGTGAATAAGCATGACAAAGACCACTGGGAAGGATACTGAAAGGCAAAGTTGTTCATTTTGGCTCCAAACAAGCTGAAGAAGAAGGTGTTTCTGAGATTGAACAATTTATTAATCAAGCTCCAGTAACAAGTGACAGATCAAAAATGACTAACACAAGTGATCGGATGGATTTGGCTTTTGTGCTTCAAACAGGTGAGTGGATTTCTAGTTTTCTCACACTAAACTGTAAAATGTTGTCCAAAAAGTTGTATTGGTCAGATTTCTAGTGTTTTCTTGAACACAACACGGTCATCTGCTTCTGTAGATTTGTGACTTCATGTTCTCAATCTCCATCTAGCTAACATTGTTTTTTGACTTTTTCATTTTCTCAAGTGACCAGCTCCAATCTAGCTGACAGCAATAGGCTTTTGGAGACCATAAAATCATTTGTCCACTTTGGAGCTTTCATTGTCACTGGTCTCTTTACCTGCCTCATCATAGCAACAGTGCGGAACAACCAGGAGCTGCATCAGAACCCTCGCTACATCCTATTGTGTCAGCACTGCATCTGTGTGACCGGCTTCAACATTATGGGCGCAGTTGTACACGCTCTTCGCAGCCTACGTTGGCCAATCTCTCGAATCACCTGTTGGATCCTCTTCGACCTGCAGGTGGTGATGGCACGGGGTTTGATGATCACCCTCACACTGATGTCCATCAGCGCTTGTCTGTCCATTTGCATGCCACTCCGCTACCCCATTCTGGTCCAGCGCTTCTACCGCTGGGTCGCATTGGTGGCTTGCATTCTCGCCCTACTCAACCCCGTAGTGTTCACCGTCCTAGCCTGTGTGCGCTTTCCGTGGGACTACGTGGTTGGGCTGGACACAGAGTGCTCCACAGCTTTGGAGGGCACCGCATGCATCGCCAGCGCTTTAGTATTGCTTTTATTGCTGGTGCTGAATCATAATATTGTCTTACTCAGAATAAGGTAAATAATCAGATTACTGATGTCCATGTAAACGTAGTCAATGATCGCTTATTAGTATTAATTACAAAAAATATGTAAAGTTCGCAGCATAGACTCACCAGTCTGTTATTGTGGTGACATTTTCACGCCCCTAAGCATGACGCGGCACAAAACGAAACGTGATTGGTTGCTTTACCTGTCAGTCATATGGCCTCTTGGGCGGGCCTTAGCCATTCAAAGCAGCCAAGGTTCCCAGACCTTCTGCCGTCAGTCTGAAGGTCTGGCTACGAGAGACTATGTTAATATTAACCATACAAACAACAATATAACTTACAGGAAAACAAGGACAACTTTTTTTTTTTAACCTAAAGATGATGCTAGGGTATTTTAGGGGTGCGTGATATTGGCAACAAAAAAAAAATTGTCAATATTTTATTTATTTATTTACTTGATAATGATAATTACACCAAATTTTGCAAAGCGTGTTTTTGAGATAGTAAGCCTGTCATGGATAAATAAATATAGAGTATATAACTTGTATAATATACAGCATATACATGTCTCTTAATGGTTTCAGAAGACAAAAGTCATTGAACAAACTCAAACATCTCATCAAATTTTTGCAACACAAAATTACCTTAATCCAAATTAATATAATGAATATAATATAGTATAATAAAATATAATAATATAATATAAAGTATGATTGTTATTATATTATATATATTTTAATTACTACATTATAATAACATACAATATTATATATATATATATATATATATTTTTTTTTTTTTATTAATAAATGGCCTACTGAACAGATTGCTTTTTCTTTAAATAAATTCAGTTAATATGAAAATCTTCTTAGGGATAAAAATCTACCTCAGCTT